CTTTAAAACTATGCCTTTATAAAGAAATTCTGTGGGGGCATAATATATGAAATACAGAAAAGTTTTATATTGCTATCTTTTAAAACTTTCTATCTAGTAAAAGTAATGCTTTTTGCAACTTGAAGTTGTGTTCTGAAGAGCAGACTCATAGCAGCTGACTAAATCATGTATGATTAGATAGCGTTAACTTTGCTAGACACTAGTTCTAAAATTTACATTCCCCTTTATTTTGTTCTAATTCTATTCCTAAAGATGCTTAAAAGAAAGAGAAACAATAATTGTCACCATAGATGTTATCCCTATTTTCTTCACTTCCTGTCACTCCTGCCTTCATTAATAAGTTACTGTAAGATGATGGGCATGAGACTTTAACAAGTTTAGGGTGGGTATTTGGATGAATTCTTCTGAAATTGTTTGGAACACTAGCCAATTGTAAAAAGTTCTAACTCTTAAAAAATACTTTGCTACTACCAACTTTTTTTTTTTAAAAAAAAACTGCATTCACATACAGAATAAAATAAAGCATCATGTTATCTATACATGCCAATATAAACTCTAGTGATTAGCTTATAATCATATTTAGTTAAATAAATACATTCAGATAAATTACCCAGGAGATAATTTACAGCTTATGTCCTTGGATTCATTAAAGAAAATAAGATACTTTCACATAATACATAACGCCAAAATATAACCAAAAATCTTAAAATTCAAATATTATCAATTCTACTTTAATGAGAGCCAAACTTTCTACATAATCATATGCAAGAATTTTAAATTCTTGAAAGCAAGTGTCAAGTACTATGCACAATTTCCATACACAGCAGGTAGTAAAGCAAGAAAAGAACTGACACAGTTGCTTTCCTTAAAAGAGACGTACAATGGGAAACTGTTACACAGCGCTGGCATACTACAGATCTATGCATTAAAGATGTTGTGGCTATTAACAGTTTAAACCTTTACTGTATTTTGCTAATTGGTACATAGAACTTTAAAGCTTTTCAAAGATAAAACATTCCAGCCAGTTCAATTCTGTAGCATTGTTCAAGTATTCCAAGTAGGAACAAAGAGCAAAATAAATCTGCTTTAATTGCTGAAGAATCACAGATAATAGAGATGGCTGAATACTGTAGAGTAAAAACCCTTTGTTACTTAAACAATTTTAATATAGCAAGATCATTCTGTTAGTTTTAGTCGTCCTGTCTGCATAAGAACTACTATTAATATTTCCTCTATAACTATTTAGAAAATACAGGTTTTATACACGTAACTTGATAATATGGGAAAAATAACATTCTAATTAGGGGTATATTTTAGAAAATAAATCTCTATACTAATTGATATAATTTTATTTAAAGAGAACTTTTTTCATTATGTGGGTTTTGAAATATTTTTCAAAATTAATCTCACATACAAAAATAGTTCTTTAAAAAAAGTTAATTGAACAATGGCCATTTCAATATAAAATTTACACTTCCAAAAAGCATTACTCAGTCATTATTTCTTCCTTAGAATTTTAAAAGATAGTTTTGCTATCTTGTAAATTTTTTTCAATAGATAGTGGGTCATGTAAAACCAACAGAGAAAACAAAACGTCATAAAAGGTATAGTAGTTTTTAAAACCTAAAACTACATTGCAAGCTCACGTTTTATATAATCAGCCAGTAGTTTCCCTTTCTAAAAGACTCGTCTAAATATAAAACTATAAATTAATATATAGACTGAAGGGCAGGAAAAAACATTATTCTGTATTTAGTGGAAAAGCAACATGTTAAACTGCCACCATGAAAGGTTCTCAAGGCTGCTATTCTTTGATGTAAAATGAAATACTATTTAGTGAATAAAACATAAAAAACTCCTGTCTACCCTTCAAAGAGACATATCCTTTGACCCAGTGCTCCAGACTAAAGCCTTGAAATTTTTGCACAAGAATGCTTCGTGAGGAAAGTCCAGACAAAACAGACACTTGAGATTCTAGAAGGCTGTATAACCCAATCACAGACACTACTCCTTCAATAATCTAGCAGAGATAGCACTGCCACACACCAAAAGAAAGTAATCTCACCAAAAGAAAACTGACCCCTTAAAAAAAAAAAAAGCAAACAGTCAAAGCAAATGTAAGCCTCCAACTTAGGTTTATCTTTCCGTGCAGATCACCTTTTAACAACCATTTTCAAATTCAAGTTTGCAGCTACAGAAAGTTTTCATGTATGAACATTTAGTATGTTAGGAGGCAAAAGCAACATTTAAAAAAATGCCGTGTAACAATAAGAATGATTTATATTTGAAGCTTTGTAAAAATCATTCAATTTTAGTAATTCCTTTGAACAAGATCAAGCAAAGAAAAACATGTAAATCTATTATAGTTAACAAAAAATTCGATTAAATAACTTGCTGTTTGCAGCCATTCTAAAACAGCAATATTATCATCCAATTGGCTGGCTGCCACTAATACCATTTGCTTAATACCAATTGCTTAAATAGCAATTATTTATTGTAAGTGTCAGCAAGTAACAAAACTAACTGCTGTTACTGTTATTTGGAAGATGTCATCAAGAAATAAAGAATAATAAATTCAGTAACATCCAGAACACTGTGCATACCTAAATTTTAAATAAGGACATTACTGCAAAATACTTAAAATATCCAAAGTATTACAATATTACAATAATTGCATGTAATGTCTAAAGTTTTTAAAAAGCTTAGAAATGATGACCATACTTTTCCAATAACTCCACAGATTTGAGATTTACAGACTGCTAACAAAAGTTTCCTTTTCATTTGTATTTATGTTGAGAATGCATGTATAACTAACCATAATACCCTTGTAAAATTTAAAACAGGTGATGCATGTCTTCAAATCAAATAACTAAGCAACCAAGTGAAAATAAACTAGTTAAAGTGAATTGAAACAATGAAGCACAGTGTCTTGCAAATATAAGTGCTCACTCAGTAAGTAATGATACATACTGAGTAAGTGAAGAATGAAGAAAAAATAGCAGTCAATATAATTTTACAGAAAAAAATGTATTAATGTACAAAGTATTGAAGTTCACTTCACACATTTTTATTAACAATTCTTAGGTGTTATGAGTTTTTTTACAGTAGCGATTAATACAGTGATAATGCCAACAAACTTGTATTTTAAATCAAATACTAAAAATGATTAAAACACACATTAAGAAATACCTATGAGGATGTAATTAATACTTTGGTTGTTTTGTAAGGAAATATCTATTCAAAGATCTTTAAAAGGTATTGCAAATTTAATTTCTTTTGTAAAGTCCAAGTGAATATAAAAATACAATATATACATTGGTCTTGGATATTCATCAAATACACTAAAAAAAAAAGCAAAAAAAAACAGGTGGTGTAATATAAAGGAGAAAAAAAGTCACTCTCTAAATAGAGCACAAAGGCAAAGACATTCTTCACCCTATCTCCAAGCCACAAAAACTCCTGCAGCAAAATCAAGGCCACAAGGCAAAGCAGTCATTTGTAAACTTTCTTCATTATCTGTATCATCACATAATTGGAATTAACAATTGGGCAGTCCACAGTTTTTGTTAAACACTGTGCTTCTACATAAACTGATAAGATTTTAGTAAGACACTGCCCTCTACTCTTTCCATTTTAAGTATCTTAATAGTTCTCAGAATAATGAGTTAGGTTAGTCTGATAACAATAAGACATTCTTTAAAATGGCAAAAAATTTAACACATGCTCTGATACAAAATTCATTATTCATAGTAATCTAGAAATTTAATTATCTGAAGTGTCTCTAACAGTGTCAATATTATATACAGTTCTAAAATGAAAGGAAAGATTCTTTTACATATAAAATGCCAGACTTCTTTTCCTAGCTATGTGTTAAGGGGTTTGAAAAAAAAAAAAGATAAGGAGACATGTTGTCAGTAAACAATTAATGTGCAGAACACAAAGAACATAAAAAATGTAAAAAGGTTTTAGCTCTCCATAAGGTTCACATCAGTATAAAAAAGCAAATTTCAAACTGCCTTACTAAAAGTGCTGGGATTTAAAGGAACAGAGATCATAATCCCCACTACGCATTACCACACATCTGGAGTAGCATGAGAAATCCTGGCAACATTTTCAAAGGCATTCAGTCTGAGCCCCCTCTGCCCAGACCACTCTTTGAGAATCAGGATTTGGGACCAGACAGCTGTTTTCAAATACACAGAGGCTGTCATGTAGAAAATGGCATGACCTATATGTTATTATATAATAAACCTTAAACCAGTGACCGTTTGTTATATAGAAGTATATCAGCACCAAATTAAGAAAACACAGCCCTTTAAAACAACTGAGACATATAAGTAGTAAAATTCATTCTTTTAACTCTAGAGTTTATGGGACTTTCTGTCTTACAAGGGAAACAAATATGGGTGTGATAAAGGAACCAGCACCCTGAGTTATACCACCCTCTACACTTTTCTCATGTCCCTTCAGATAATCCCTCCTTTAGGATCCAACCCTGACATCCAACTTCTGATAAGCTTTGCATCTCGAAGTCTACTTAGTCTAAAATGTCAAAATAGTAGAATATAAGACTTGAAGTCTAGTCTCCCCTCCCACCACACACACATATACACTTTGGTTTTTGTGTCCCATACAGTGTTGCCAGGACTTACTCCTGGTTCTGTGCTCAGAGATCACTCTTAAGAGGCCTCGAAGGATGTTTGGGGGTGCCAGAGATCGAAACGAGGTCGGCCACATGCGAGGCAAGTGCCATACCTGCTGCACTCTCTCTCCAGCCTCTAGTCTAGCTTCTGTAACTCTGCATAATACACTTGAGTTCTGCTCACATTTATTCCTATTTGATGAGAAGAAATCCATTGTATAAGAGAATACTTAATAATAGTTACATTGTGATATTTCTTAAAATTTATATACAATCTAAATATTACCACTTTCTGAAAAGAACTCATCCTACTGTACAAAATCACAGCAATTTGCTACTCCTTGTACAACACTCTTACCAATTTTTCGTCAACTGTTATGAGTTGCTTCTCTCGAGCTTGATCCGGTGTCATCCTCCATAATGAAGTGCTCAAAAACCTGCAATGCAAGGCTTTAAGTCAAAAAATGATACATGTATGGGACCATAAAGATAAAAAAGCAGTAGATAGGGCATTTGCCTTCCATGCTGGCTACCGAATTTGGTCCCCAGCACCTGAGTCCTGACATAAATAATTCCTGCACACAGAGCCATGAGTGAGCCCTTACACTATCAGATGTGGCCTCAGAGCAAAAAACGAAACAAAAAGATCCATGCAATTAGAAAAAAAGACAAACAAACCTTGGATTAAGTTATTTCAACAGTATGTCTTATAAAAACAAAAGGGACAGAAAGGGGCTGGAGCGACAGTATAGAGGGTAGGGTGTTTGCCTTGCGCGTGACCAACCTGGATTCGATTCCCAGCATCCCATATAGTCCCCTGAGCACCACCAGGAATAATTCCTGAGTGCAAAGCCAAGAGTAACTCCTATGCATCGCCGAGCGTGACACAAAAAGAAAAAAAAAGGCATAGAAAAAAGAGGACACAATAATCTATTTTCTCCCCAATGTGCTATGTTTTCCAAGTTTTTGGCAAACTCACTGCAGAAATTTCACCACAGCCTGCACTTTACGTCAGTCTATGGGTGCTCTGTCACAGAAAAACCTCCAGTGACAATTACTATGCTGATTTTTATGAGTGCAGACCAGAAAGTTTGTCAGTCTAGGCCCCCAAGAAAAAAAAGAATAAAAGCCATGTAACTATTTTCATACAGATCTATTTTGGGTGTAAGAGTAGCTTATTTACAATGGTAAATTTATACTAACATATTAGGAAAATAAGTAGAAATTTAAAACTATGTTAAGTCGAAAAAGTTTGTAGTATTATTTTTAAATTGCTACTAGATTTTATACAAATCTGTATTATATTTGAAGTTATTGAACACTAGATGAACTTTTTATTAAATACATATTAATACATATAAAATACATATAATAAAAGGTTAAATACAATATATATTCATTATATTGTATATATCGGGCTGGAGCGATAGCACAGCGGGTAGGGTGTTCGCCTTACAAGCGGCCAACTATGGCCGACCCGAGTTCGATTCCTCCGCCCCTCTCGGAGAGCCCGGCAAGCTACCGAGAGTATTCGATATGCCAGACACAGTAACAACAAGGTCTCCAATGGAGACGTTACTGGGCCCGCTCGAGCAAATCGACGATCAACGGGAGGGCCTTTACCTTTTACCTTTACCTTTATATTGTATATAATATATAATATACATAATATATGCAATATAATGAATATATTGTATATATTCATTTTTTATTAAAATGTATTAAAATACTACTACACAGAGAAACTCACAAATAAATCTTGAAAAAGATCAACAAGCTGCAGAGATGCTTCCAGACCCCATGCCAGGCTGAGTCTCATATCCAGGGCATCCGGAGGTAGGTAGGTGGGCCCTCCACCCACCCAAACAGAGCCCTGCCAGCCATTCTTACGGCTAGATTACACAGGTTCAGGACAAGTCTCATCCAGGAATGAATCTGTTGAAAAACTCAGGTATGTGGGTTTTCTGCCGGAAATCTCCAAGCTCTTAAGGAGTCAGTAATGGGTAACCTACCCCATCCCCCTGTTCTTCTGGGAGCCTGGCAGTCATGCCCATGAACTAACTTTGGCGCCATCTAAGTTCATAAACAGACCATGATCCTGACACTCAAATAAATTCTGAAAGAGATCAGCAAGCTGTAGAGATGTTTCCATACCCCCAAATTACTGATCACTATCACGACGATGACGACCATCCTGTTGTTCATCGATTGCCTCGAGCAGGCCCCAGTAACATCTCCTTCGTCCTAGCCCTGAGATTTTTAAAAAGTGCCATATTCAAGGCTCTTTCAGGCTTAGGAGAATGAGACCCTTCATTGTTACTGGTATTTGGCATATTGGGTACGCCATGGGGAGTTTGCGAGACTCTGCCGTGTGGGCAGGTTACATTCGGTAGCCTGCCAGGTTTGTCCAAAGTAAGAATGAGATAAGATGTCGCGCGGCCGTGAATGCAGAGTCTCCTGCCCCTGCGCCTGGCTGTCTTTGCCAGAGCCCCTTGGAGGGGGCGGATTGAGTTTCTCTCCCCGGCCCGACCAGAGCTCCGGCAGCCGAAGACCTCCAGAACCAGCCACCGCCATGCTGAGACCACTCTCCACACGCATGAAGGTACCAGCAGAGGAACAAAGGCATGCGGGTCCCGGGGCTGAGATCTCCAAGTCTGCTCAGATCAGGGCTGAGCATCCTCCACCCAGATCCTCTGCCTTCCAGTAGGCAGGGGTCACACCCACCAACTGGCCCCCTGGCGCCATGTAATCCCATCATGGCGCCGTGTAATCCCATCAACGGCCAAGATCCAGAGACTATAAAACCCCAAATTACCATCCAACTAAAAAATTTAACTCCAGCTGTATCATCCCATCAAAATTTTAGAATTCCTCGAGAGTGCAGCATCTCATGCTCCTCACCATTGATATACCAAGAGTAGTACACCACACTGGATAGGATGTAAGTAGAAGACAACCAGTCCCAATTAAAAAAATATTACCACAAAAGGCTTAACCTGTAATAACATGTTGGTAATCTCTTATACAAGAGCTTAATAACTCCAGGGTAAGATACAACAATCTTCACACTTTCTTCTACAGAAATCTTTTTTTTGTCATTTTTAGCAAATTAAATATAACAAGCAATACAGAATAAATCATTTAGGCCTACTAAGGGGGCAGGCTTGAGGGGTGATTGGGAAAACTGGAAATAATGGTGGAGGGACCGTGTAATGGTGGTGGAATTGGTGTTGAAATATTGAATGTAATAAACCACTGTGAACTTTATAAAAATTTTTAAAAAATTAAATGTTCTGCAAAAATTGTTGGTAATTATGTCATATCAAAATTATGATTTAATTGGTTAGATACCACAATATTCACTTTGGGATGCTAATGTAAATACTATTGTTTTAAATGTCAAATTCCAGTCATTCATTACTATAAGAAAGCAAATACCCTTTTATATATTAATGTATTACAACTCAATTCTTTCAGATTTTCCCAGGTAGACAAAGATGCTATCTGTGAGTAAGGATAGTTTTAAATCTTCCTTCCATGCACACTTACGCATTTCACTTAATAAGTAAACTGGAACTTTCAGTACAGTGCTGGACAGGAGAGTAACAAGAGGAGTTACCGGTTTTTCCCAGTCTCAATGAAGGGGTCTCTTTGCTAGGCGTTATGTGTGCTAATAGTAGATTTAGTCTCTTCTTCATGCAGATATGTAAGTTACTCTTTTCATTTGCTTAGTTGATGTGAACTGCATTATATGATGTGAACTGCATTATATTAGTTAATATTTGAATGCTGAAATGGCTCACCTTGAAATGAATCCCATTTGGTTATGGTTTCTAAATATTTTAGTACATTATTTGATTCAGTATGCTAATGTTTAATTCGGGAGTTGTGCACCTATGTTCCTAAGAGATATTGGTCTATAGTCTTCCTTTCTTTCACTGTCTTTATCTGGTTTTGGTATTAAAGTAATCCTGGCATTGTGTATAACAGAAGGAAGGTAGCACTCTTGTTTGGAAGATATAATAGATGATTAATATCATTTATTCTTAAATGTTAAGAATGCACCAATTCTGTATGTTTGATAGAAAACATCTTGGCCTGGCGATTATTTCATTTTAGAAGGTTATTACTGATTCAGTTTATGCAGTGGCTAGATTATTTCTCCTTGTAAAAGTTTTGGTAATTTCTGATTTTCAGATAGTTTGTTTCATCTTAAGTTTGACAGCACAGAGTTCCTCATATGTTTTTAGTATCCTTATAATAATATCCATGTCATCAGTAAAATTTACATGCCTTTCATTTTTTTATATTGATAGTTTCTTAGTTTTTCCTGTTTAACCTGGTTTGAAATTGATATTCAAAGAAAAAGTTTTGTTTTATATTTTTTATTGTATTTCGCCCACATGGCAAAGCCTGGCAAGCTACCTGTGACATATTCAATACGCCAAACACAGTAACGTGTCACAATGGAGACATTATTGGGCCCACTCGAGCAGAACCAATAAACAACGGGAGGACAGTGACAGTGATTATTTCATTATTAATATTTTTTGCTTCCCAGAAGTTTCTATTTCTTTTCTATAGTTTTCCATGGTGAATCTAGGTCACCTTTTCTAAGATATGTGTTTAATAGCATAAATTCCCTCTTGCTACACCTCAAATTTTTAAAAATAGGAAAGTACCCAATTTCTGTTTTGGTTCTATATTTTAAGAGGTCAAGGCATGTATGCATTGTGTGATTTCTATTCTTTTTACATTTGTTAAAGTGTACTTTATAAATTTAGAATACAGCTTATCTTGGTGAGTATTCTATAAGTCTATGAAGAATGTAAATAAAGTTTTATATATATATATGTCAATCATATCTAGCTGATTGATGGAGCTGTTTAACCATCTATCCTTACTTATATTCTGCTTGTCACCTGTCAGTGACAAGTGACTTGGTCATTTTCCTTGAGAACAGTGTTTAAGTCTCCCACTGTAGTAATGGATGTTTCTTCCATCAGGTTTTTCCTCATTCCCTTTGACATTCTCTTTTGACATTTTCTTTAGCACAAAGACATAAGAGAGGGGCTGGAGCAATAGCACAGTGGGTAGGGCATTTGTCTTGCATGCGGCTGACCCGGGTCCAATTTCCAATATCCCATATGGCCCCCCTAGCACTGCCAGGAGTAATTCCTTAGTGCATGAGCCAGGAGTAAAACCTGTGCATCGCCGGATGTGACCCAAAATGAAAAAAAAAAAAAAGACTTAAGATATTTTTGTTTTCCTCCCCTTTTCTCTTTCTGTTGATGATGATGTTGAGGTGACTGGGGAGGACACATATGCCCAACTGTGGTGCTCACACATTTGCTCAAGTTGTGGTGCTCACATACTCTTGGTCAAGGTGCCTGCTAGGTCATACTCCTTGCCAGGTTCCTCCTACATCTTATTTTCC